TTTTATTTCTTTTTGGTATATAGGACACCAAAGTAATATCATCATGAAAAGCAAACATGCTGGATTGAATAGGTTTGCTTATGGGTTTAAAAAATTCATGAGGCAATTCCTTCTTATTTTTGCGATACGTTCCTAAAAACGTAAGTTTGTAATCATGTAAGTTTGTATTATTGGTATGCTTGAAAACCAATTGTCAACAGTTATGTGCCGTTTTGTTCCTCTTAGAGCCTCACATAGTCTCTTTCACCACTTCCGATGGAAAATTACCTACAAGAAAAGGACCTGGTGATTGCCCCAAATATGGCTCTAAATTGCGGGTATAAAAGGTCTTGGAATTCACTAGCGCAAAAGTTTTTAATCGATATTTATTTGGTTTATTGGCTATATACTGTTCCGTCTTTATTCCAAAGTTCGTCTATGTTTACTTATAGTTTTCTTGGGAATGTCTGATATGTTTGTTTGTAGATTCAACAATAATTATCATGATGTCGTTAAAAAAATATTTCCAAATATCATTTGTGTGAATTTAGAACTCGACACGATTTGGTGACCTCGAGTTTAGTGTAGACCTCACCACAGACAGATAAAGTCAATGTAGATTATCAGCTACAAATCCCATTTGAATCGGAAAACTCTTCTGCTTAGTTCTCCAACCTTGGATATTCCATGTTCGTTTGCTACATCGTCTTCGCTTTTTCATTCCGTGTTCCCAGGCTGATTTTTTTCAGTAGTTTTTTCTACAGGTCTAGAGGAACATGCTCTACGTCCCAATTCTCTTCCAAGAGGACCACGATTTTCTGTTGGGATTTATAGGAAAGATTAAAACACTCAAGACAAGTTGAAACAGAATAAAATATGAGGGCCCTTATGATTCGCCAGGTGCATTACATAAGCGTATGAGTATGGATACACTTTGTGTTCCTGCTCAACCTGGGGGGGGGTGCTGACTACAGACTGCATGGCTCGTCCAGCATGTTATAGTATTGATCATAGGGTGCACGCCATTTTTACAATATAGATACCCCACCTCTATGGCCTGACTCTAATCGCTTAGATACAGAATTTAATACGAAAACTTAAAGCGAACTTGAACTTAGGAGAACTTGAATAAGAAAAGACATGAAATTCTTATTATTAATTAATGTTATTTAATAAATAAAATTACTAGGTACTTAATACTACTACTTCCTTAAATATTTATATTTTGTAATTTTTCTTACCTCCTCAGATATACCCAGAAAGATATTGTTTAGTTTGGTCATAAAGTCTTTTGGGTATATTGTGTCATCCCACGCTTTTAAAACTCGCAATACTCTAACCCTAAAACCTTCTGCCTGCAGTCTACCTTCTAAATTATCGTAAGTTTCTTTGATGCACTTGAATATATCTACCAATTTTAACTCAAACGCCTTTCTAAAAAACGATGCCTTTGAGACTTTAACTTGACAGTTATGTAAAATATCTGAAATCAAGTAAAGTCGTGCAATCTTTTTGGTAAGGAGAGTGGTTTTATTGGATAGAGACTCAGCGATGCATTCAGCAACTTCCTCAGCTGCTTCGCTATGCTCGATGCAGAACACCATTGCTTCACCTATTTTATTTCTTTCGTGGGTTAATTGCCGTAATAGGTCTTCTAGCCTATCCCTCTGCCTGAAAAATTAAAAAAGTTAAACTGGAGTAGAAGCAAAATTGAAGTGTGTCAAACTTACGAATTAGAAAGGCTTCCTTTTGAACTTTCTTTAGAATCGTCCTCTTTTATTAACTCCTCTGGCATACCCAATGTGTAACAGTTCATGAGAGGCGGTTTCCATATAGATCCATCTAAAATTACACTCTTCATATCATATATGTGTATTGTAATAATATACGACAGGGAAATGAGCAGAAATACAATGTTTTGTTATAGTCGCTGTAACTAGAGGTAGAAGATTATCTAAACGGCTATGCATCACGCATGCGCAAAGTACAAATTTACCCTTTGACCGTCCTATACGGATCTATCTTCGGAATAACTCCAGTATTAGAGAGAATAATAGGTATCGTTTGAGTACTTTCCATTCTCCATCGTCTCCTTAGTTGTATTTCCAGATCTCTGTATTTGGCGATTTTTTCATTGTATTTAACACGCAGGTTGTTATTGTTAGGTATCACATCTATTAGTGTTGTCTGTCTAGTAAGTTTATTAACCAGCATGAGACCCGGTCTATTATGTGCCACTGGTTGGTCTTTTAAGGTCTGGTGAGGTCCCAGTAAGTTTTATGGTAGTCGTTTTTAAGCATTCTGTCAACATAATATTGATAATAAGGCAGATTATCGTTTTGAAGAAGTTCCAGTTTGCTAGCTAGTCTTGGTGAAAAATGTATTTAATATAACAATTTGAAATAACTATGTTTATTAATTTAAATATGCACAAGCTATTTTAAGGTGTTTATTGCATCTTATGTGGGTATTTTAAAAAATAAAGTATATTTATTTTTGTCATTAAATAAAAAAAAACATTTGGATCATTTCTGCAAAATTGTGTTTTTTGTGGTACAAAGCAAATTTTATTATTTGCAGATATGATCCAAAGTGGTGTTTGTCTGTATTACTGTCAAATTATATTTATTTTTACCAAAGTCTGTACATAAAACAAAGACTTATTTTTGGTAACATATCTTTACATTATAAAAACATTAAAATATTTAAATTTAGAACGAAGAAACATTATTCTGTAGAACTTTCTTCCAGGGGAAAATCTAGTTCATTTCCATACCCATCTATGTCATCGGGAATATTTTTGTTTCCGTATAATAACTGTAGATATATGTTTTGACAGTGTTTTGAAATAAGATCTAACAACGACTTAATGTCTTCTAACTTTGGAGCTGAAAGCTCTTTACGATTAGGCCATAGAGGCGAAATATTTCTTAGAATTTTTTTTAATATCCACTTCCACAAATTCACTATCAAAAGAATTTCTCATAAAAATGGAATACGGGTTTTCTTTTGTTAATAAAATTTCTTTGGTTTTAAGCCAATTTATGGGCTTCCTATCTGTGGATAATTTTCTATTGACGATAAGTTTTTTAAGTTTCTGTGTACTATAGAAATTTTCCTTCTTCATTCTAGTAACCACCATTGGTTTCTTCCTTTGACACCAACGCATGACATCCATGTACTCTTCTGGTGTATAAATTCGCTGCTGTAACTGAAGAGCGGATTCTATTTTGCCAAAATTGGTGTCATTTGGAAGGTAGGGATGATCTGGTTCTAGAAATCTTTGTGAAATTTTCTGTAAAGTTGAATGTTTTGACAAAAAGAGTTTCAATAGCAAAACGATTTTAATATTTTTATTTTGCCCCCCACATGAATCGCTCCAAAGTATTAAATGTTTCACATCAGGTTTCAGGTATTTTTCCATGTGATTAATTAAACAACTTCCAGTTTCTTGAGCTCCGCGCCCTGCTTCTCCTTGCATCCATACATAACAGTAACTTTTGTCTTCTGATCCTAAGTGGATACCACAATTATATACCCATAGTTGTCGTTTATAAAAAACGATGTTTGTAGGTATTCTTGGAAGTGGGAGAGTTTTCTGTAAATCAAATGTGATGCATTCCATTTCCTGGGACATTTGACTTTCTTTTATATCGTCCCTCATTTTTGCTCTTGCATTTTGCCAAAGTTCAACATGTTTCTGATGTTCGTCAGTTAAATAATTTTCCTCTTCTTCAGTTGCAACGTTTTTTATTTTAGTGTTAAATAAATCACATTTTAAACAAGTATCTTTGTGAAGCGATTTTGTTCGTAAATTAAATTTGTTTAAGTAAATAGACTTATATTTTTTCAAACGAAACACATTTTCTTACAGGATACTTTTTAACTACCATTGCAGTATACAACTCATACAGTTTTCTTACAGTCAGATTTGGCTGAAGGAATAAGGCATCAGAGCAATTTGCTCTTCTGTAATGTGATGTGTAAGTTGGAATTGATTTTAGATGACGTATTACAAGTTTGAGGTCTTCAGAAGGAGTTTTATTCAACCTCCCCGCTTTTGTCCTCTTTGATCAACAATGCTATCAGAGCTATCCATTTTTTTTAAGATACGGTCACTTTTTGGGGAAAAATACCTAATGTTTTTACAAACATATCACGGCACACTATTTTTCCTGCTAAAGTATAGGTACGACTAAAATTTTTAATTTTTCTTTGTAAACCTTCGTTTAATGTGGTATAAGATCTTTTCTTTGTGTTTTGTTTTACACAAGCGTTACATTATGGAATGTAAGACTTCTGCATTTATAATGACCAAAGAAAATTGCGAGAATAACATTTGCTGATATGATTCAAGCTTTTTGAATCATTACAGTGTTAAATACATTAGTGTTATTGACTTTATTTAACTTTGTAAAAATGATTCGGGCCACTTGGATCATTTTGGCTTAAAAAATAAAGCCTCGTTTTAAAATTATTTTTAAAACGCAATAATGATCCATGTGACTTGGCTCATTTTTGTAAATTACTTTAAAGCCTGGTTTTAAAATTATTTTTAAAGCGCATTAATGATCCATGTGTCTTGGTTCATTTTTGTAAATTACTCTTAAAAATATTTGAAGATTCAAGCATGATTCTAGCATGAATCATTACTGCACAATCGATTAAAGCTAAAAGAGCGTTAAAGGTTGGACATTTTACTATTATTACTGTTGTCTTGCATAGAAAAGGTTGGATCATTTCAGCATAATTTAGTTTCGAATTTTACCGATGCAAATTTGTGTCTAACTCATATTTTAAGAAATTGTGGAATGGATCACTTCTGCATAACTACGTCCAACTTTACCTAAGTGGAAAATCGAATCCAACTAACTGCTTACATTTTTGTCCCGTATAGTTATTTTGGGACAAATTTAAATAAAAGTGACTGTTTTGAAAGAAAAATAACACTTGTATTATAGCAGTAGAGTACTAACCTAAAAAAAACTGTACAAAATATATTACGATAGTAATAGACTTACTTTTGAACATTCTAAATTCCTTGGTATTCCATTCTTTCTGGGAATCGCCATGAAGAATTGAATATACTTTCCATCTATAGTAGATATGAGGTGGACTTTGATTTTCAAATAAAAACCTAAAAAAAAATGTAGTAGATAGTCCATAGTACTCTTTATTTGATATTAAGAGAATAAATGCAAAATCCTAAGAATTTCAGTAAGTTTCATAAACATTTACATTGCAATCCGTCACTAGCTTTCTTTGTTTGCTTTCCATATTCTGTAAAAGGTCCAAGTGGGTAGAGTGCTTGGCAGGGCACAATTAGATAATTACGAAAAGGGATGGAAATTTCAAATTACATTTCTTAGTATTTCTAGTATTCCCCCTTAGATAAGGGGGAATAATAACTATTGGGACCGTGATTTCTAATTGTACCTGTACAAACAATATTGCTGAGGTACCAAAAAATTTAGAAAAACAAAATGAAATAAATGTAGAGTTTGTAGAAATGTAGCAGTTGTAGAAAATACTAGAATAAGTTCTCGGACCATTGCAGACCAGTTTAATATTCATAATTCTATGGCGTTAAAAATTTTGAAAAGGAATAAATTCTGTTCATATGAACTGAATACATTTCATCAATTTTATTGCTTTGTAAACAACACTACACTAGTAGTAGTAGTATTTGTAAAAATTTGCGTATTTTAGTATTTATGTATAATTTAATCATAAAATAAAAATATTCACGATTCAAATATTGTCAAATATTAGAATCATCAATATGACCAAACGCAACATGTCATACATATTCTTGTACCTCGTGGCCTGACTTTAAGGGGTGGCCTGAAAAATGTATTATATTCTTACAAAATTTTGAAATACATTTAATTTGTAGAACAATTTTAACATTTGTTTTTAATACATATTTCAGTCCTCTACATATAGTTGCTTATGACTTTTGATGTAAAATAATTAGGGAAGTAGGAATTCAACAATTTACAATTTCCCATTGAATTTCCTATGGCCATTAGACGATTCACCACCCGTATATACAAGGTCGTCCAGAATTATGTACATTAATTTCTAGAGCTCATAGTACGTCCAAAAATAAGGGTACTTCTTTATGTACACTTTTTTATAAAACTGAATAATAAGGGAGATACAACCCTTTAAAGGGGTGAATTGAAATTCTTATTTTTTCAAATATCTTCCAAACGGTTTTGAATACGGAGTTCATATTTTGGGAGTAATTATAAGACATTCGAATAATTAATTTCATGTCACCACCTACCACATCCTATATTAATACAGGGTAGTTTTGGAGGGTACGTGGGGGTTATTCCGTCACATGTTTTTTAATTTGCACATATTTTAAAAAAACATTTTAAAAATTGTTTCCTTAGAGTTTTCTACGCAAAAAAGGTGCTCTTGTAATATTTCGATAGATATCACCGTTTTCGATTTATTTAAACTCGAAGGTATACATGTATTTTGTTGTAATCGTTACATTTCTTAATATTCATCAAGTATGCTTTTTAATTGACACTTGTGTTAGCAACAACACTTTAATCTCAAGTAGTCTATGAATTGTCAGTGACGTTTAATAACAATTAAATTATTTTATCTACACTTTTATTGTACTCGACAGTGAAATTTGTTTAACACGTCTCTTTTGCTATATTTTTAAATTTGTTTGCCCGCAATATGGCACACTATTCAAATTCTGAGATGACAGACATACTTTTAGTATTAGGGGAATGTTCGGGAAAACTGCTGCCGCTGTAAGACGCTACAGAGAAAAATATCCGAACAGAAATATTCCCAATGCCAGGACTTTTGTAAGTACTGAACGACGACTGAGAGAAACCGGTTGTCTTCAAAGAAGGAATACAGATGCTGGTCGTCGTAGAGAAGCAAGAAATGTTCGCGTTGAACAGCAAATATTGGATGCTGTAATAAATGACCCCACAATAAGAACACGCAGGTTAGGATTAAGAACGAATATTTCCCATCAAAGTGTTTTAAGAGTTCTGCATGAAGAGCAATTACATCCTTACCACTATCGACAGTTGCAGGAATTGTTACCTGACGATATGCCACTTAGAGTTGATTTTTGTGAAGTATTGCAAAATAAAGTTCAAACTGCACCAAATTTTTTAAGCAACATTCTGTTTACAGACGAGGCCACATTTACAAGACAAGGTATGTTCAATTCTAGAAATATGCACTTCTGGGCTGAAGAAAATCCAAGGGCTCCAATGGAAACTCACTTCCAACACACGTTCAAGATAAACGTTTGGGCAGCTACTTTAGGAAAGTTTCATAGGATACCACATCTTTCCCGGAAATTTAAATGGTAACATGTATTACAATTTTCTAGACAATATTTTACATGATATTTTGGAAAATATTCCATTACAAATACGAAGAAACATGTTTTTCGTGCATGATGGTGCCACACCACATTACACAAGAATTTGTAGAAGGTGGTTACATGAACATTTCCCTGATAGGTGGATAGGCCGGGTGCGGATGCACCGATTCATTGGCCTGCTCGTAGTTGTGATCTTAATCCAATGGACTTTACAGTATTGAGTTATTTGAAATCAAAAGTGTATAACACTCCAATTAATACAGTAAATGAGTTAAGAGACAAAATTGAACAAGTATGTACCGATTTACAAAACGATCCACTAACATTAAATGGATTAATGCGTTCGCTAAATAAAAGAATTAGATTATGTATTCAACAAAATGGAGAACATTTTGAACAGTTGTTGTGAAATATTATTTTCGCCATTAATTATATGTTAAGTATTAATTAAGTTTTCCATTAATTTGTAATGTTATTGCTAACACAAGTGTCAATTCCAAAGTATACTTGATGAATATTAAGAAATGTAACGATTACAATAAAATACATGTATACTTTCGAGTTCAAATAAATCGAAAACGGTGATATCTATCGAAATATTACAAGAGCACCTTTTTTGCGTAGAAAAGTCTAAAGAAACAATTTTTAAAATATTTTTTTAAAATATGTAAAAATTAAAAACATGTGACGCAATAACCCCCACTTACCCTCCAAAACTACCCTGTATTAATATAGGATGCGGTAGGTGGTGACATGAAATTAATTATCCTAATGTCTTATAATCACTCCCAAAATATGAACTCCATATTCAAAACCGTTTGGAAGATATTTGAAAAAATAAGAATTTCAATTCATCCCTTTAAAGGGTTGTATCTCCCTTATTATTCAGTTTTATAAAGAAGTGTACATAAAGAAGTACCCTTATTTTTGGAGGTACTATGAGCTCTAGAAATTAATGTACATAATTCTGGACCACCTTGTATATATATGTATATCAAAAATTTATAAAGTCAAAGTAAGACCAATAATGACATATACATCACAAACAAGACCTGACACAGCCAGGCCCCAAAAGCTACTAGAAACGGCAGAGATTAAAGTACTGAGAAGAATTACGGGAAATGCGGTGAGAGATCGAAAGAGGAGTGAAGACATTCGTAGAAAGTGTAACATACAATGTATAACCGAGTGAACACTAAACAGAAAAAAAGAATGGAATAACCACACAAGCACAATGGAGAAAGCCATGTGGTCAAAATAGCAACAGGTAAATCACCAATTTACCGTGCAAAAGATGTAAGTGACTACATTTCTTAGAGGTATCAATCCGCTAATTGCAGAATTGCTTGTAAAAAAAAGAATAATTTATTAAAAAATGCAAAAGTTGTTAAATGTTCAGTACATACCTAAATTGAGGGTTTTGGAGCTCCTTATTCATGATCATTGCTTCAAACATAGGCCCTTCTCGAACAACAAATTCCACCATTCTATGTATTAGCATAATCAGATTCCTGTCAGTTGGTATCACTACTTTCACAACCGCTCTGGATAATATTTCATTAAGTTCTTCCTGTGATTTTGGCAACACATCTTTATCCCTTGCAGCGGGCTGAGCATTGAATGGTAAACCGGAAGGCGGCGGAGGTTGTGAAATATCTAATAACACGGGAGGGACGTAAATAGGATAAGGGGGAATAATAACCGCTTTACCCCAACCGAGCTTCATTTCATAACCAAACACATCTTTCCCGCTTAAACTCTTCAAAGCTCGCTCGCCGTCTTTTCTCGACATGTATGCAACAAAACCACAATTACGACCCCTTGCTTTTTCTTCATCAGAGCGGGGCCACATTATTTTTATACTCGCTAAGGGGCCAAATCTTCCAAATAACTCTAATAGTTGTTGCTCAGTGATCTGAAAGTATATGTTTTTAGTAAAGAAAATTGTATCAAATCCCTAGCATGTTATCTTACCTTAGGATTAAGATTTCCGAGATACAGATTAGTAGTATTTGGATCCCCATTATCAAAGGAACCTATATCTCCACTTCTCATTAGCATATCCAACTCATTTTCAAGTGGGGTTTTGACTGCCCCTTTATATTTATGGCGTTCCTCTCGTTCTTCTTGTATTCTAAAAATGAATAATACCATTTACTCTATTTATTCATCAAAATTCAAAATAAACTAGATATTTGAGGGTTTGGTGACATACTAAGTAGAAAATAAATATAAAACAATTGACATAATTAATTCGAAGTATACTTACTGCCTCAGCTCTTCCATAAATGATTCAAGGTTACTTTTGGCAGTTTGCTTCTTCTTGCCCAATCGTTCTGGTTTTCTATCCGATGTTAAAAGCTTTGCATATGCTTGAGCTCTATCTGCAGAGCTCAATTGATCTTGAGCTGTTGCTAACCTGGATGTAGGTTTATACAACTTCCCCTTTTCTCTAGTGTCTTCCTCTATAATAAATACGACATGAAATTTAATATTATTTGATTTAACACCTACTTTATATGAAAATGTGATGGACACGATTAGGAGTGAGCCTGATAAAACAACCAAAAGCTGTGGCAGATAAGTACATACTAGACTCAGATCCTTCTCCTCCATATTTGGTTGATAAGAAAGAATTGGATAAAACAAACCAATAGCCAAAGCAACAATAGCCAAAGGCTATAGCGGGACAAGATGGTAAAATCTGCACACAGCTGGATTCTTATTTGGGAATAGGTACTCGAAAGTACATATTTAAGAAACCAGTTTAGTAAAATTTGTAGCTCCCTAGGTGGCCCAGTGGTCCCTTATCGCAAAAATTGTGTTTTCTCAAAAAAAAAAAAAAAAAAAAAAAAAAAAAAAAAAAAAAAAAAAAAAAAAAAAAAAAAAATGTGCAAGAAGAACTCCCAAAATTACATAGTGCCATAGATAGAAAGTGGCCCAAAAGTCTGGAAACAGCCAATTATTTCGTAAATTGGCAGTTATAATTGTACAAAATTTAAGATACACCTATTTTGGGATACCGAGATTCCATATTTAATATTTGCAATGTTGCCAGATTTGTTGTTTCTCTTATATTATTAGTAACTTTAGTTTTTCAAATTTATCACCCTGTATATTCAGTCATTATTGGAATCTTCTATTCAATACGAGTTCAACCATATGTAACACTTGTGATTTTATGTGGTTTGGAAGATCTTAAATAGATGAAACATAAAGTCTGGCAACGCCTAATTGTCTTAATAAATTGTTTAATACTAACTATTTTTAACTATATTAAAATGTAACAATTGATAGATCACAACATTTTTTAACATAATGGTTACTTTATCAAGTGTTCAAACTGTGCTCCATGTGAGTTGATGGTAGAATGCGTCTACCACATTTTTCCATGATTGTCTAGAAATTATTCGAGGATCATCGATATTTAGTTGCCTTAGTTCTACAGGACTTGCTGGTTTAGTTTTGTAAACTGAACTTTTCAAATTAATAATCCTCAATAAAAATAATCTTTAGGATTGAAATCAAGTAAACGTGGAGACCATTCAATTCTATAATTATATCAAAGGCAAAGGAAAGATCATCAATTGCTTTACGTTTTTCCTGCCTAACTAATGACTTACAAGTTATCAGGAATTGCATACAACGATATTGCACAAACTCATTTGCAGGATACCATTTCCTTCTCAGTTCTGACTGCTCTGCAGATGACTATGTACGAGTGGATGATGAAATAAGTATGAGCAATGAACTGTCAGATATTGACACCATACTGAGTCACCAAACTAGTGACAAAGTACTGATGAGGCTGATGAAGAATTGGAAGATTTCAGCAAAATCCTACTATTGCCAAAGTGTATGCTGCTTGTTTCACCATTAGAGCATTTATTAAGACTGCTGAAACTTCCCAGAGTGTGAAACAATCATTATCAATTAATTCCACATCAATTGAAAAAATGTTTTTTTCAGAAGTTTAAGGAAGGCGACAAACAAAAATTATAGACTTTTTTCATTAAATATTCAGGTAAAATGTTGTATTTACATATTTTGTAATACAAAGATTTTGAGAAGCTGTTATATTATGAGTATACTTTATTGACTACTTATTTCAACACATATACATATATGTTTGTACATATTTAGATTTATGTAAGTACAATAAACACATATGTTAAATGTTATGTAGAATAATATGTTATTATAACATATTATAAGTATAGATAATGTAACACATTTTTGTGTCATAAACCTAGGTACAACAAACTAACTGTTCCTACCAGTGTAATATCCTTTATAGAAACCTGTTCTATTATAACTGATAGAACCACTTACAGAGAACTGGCTACAACATACAAAACCACCAGTCCCTGAAGTTCGTTATAAACGTTTTGTATGTATATAAAATACTTACTTCTAGCCCCTGCATCATATGTTCCTGCTTTTACCCAAACTTTAGAACTACCATTAATAGGAGCTTCTTGAAATGTTTCTACAAATTCTTGAAATACCTAAAATCATTATTAATAAGAAAAATACCTTTTTTACTGCACTTTCTTATATTAAAAAAACCCCAAGAGTATAAGAATTAAAGTTGTTTAAATTAAGTGATTTGTATTCCCAGAAAATTTCTCATTAATGATCAAACTTTGCTCTAATTTTTACAACATACATGTCTTCCAAAATTATGTATTTATGAGAGTCAGAAACATCTTAAATTTTAATTTCTACACCTAACTTTTGTAGTTTAATAAGTAAGCTTATCTACAAAAATCAACATTCAGTCCAGTAAGTCGAGTAATTTGTTGATTTATTAACCAGGACTTGTTATTCATTAGTTAATTTGATTATTTCTTTACCAAATTCTGTTTATAAGACACACTAGCTAAATGAACAATTGCTCAATAGAGTATAAGTAAAAGTTATCCATATGTGAATAATTCGATTGCTAAATCTGTTTTTTTTTGTGAAATTCAGAAACTGCGGTTTTAGTTCCATAACACTCAAAATTCTTGGAAACCTTTCTCTACTAAAAATAATTATATAAAATAAACTGAATGTACATAATATTATGAGTTCATTATTAGATAATGTTTGACTAGCTGTTTATCAAGTGTTGATACACCAATTTATATTTTTTGGCAACCCGGGGAAAATAATTTCCAGTACTAAATTCTGACCACCAATGGTAAGATTTCCTTCCAATGAGTCGTTCTTTTATGTAAGAAGAATACTAAAACTAGAGCAAAGTTTTGTTGGATCGTTTATACTACAATAAGAGCCAATTCAGTCACAATATTTACATGAGCTGCTGCTTCCTCCTCTTCCCTCTTTCTTTGTTCCTCCAGTTCCCGTTTACTTAAAGTTCTTTTCCCCATTGCTCCAATGGTGAATGCTTTTAGTTTCTGTTCTGCAATAGAGCTCTGAAAATTTTCAAAGATGTGTAGGTATGAATGAATGAGGTTAAATAATAATGACTTACCTTAGTATCCGACATACTACAAATGTTATTATTTTATAAATACCCGTCCTATTTGAGCTACATTAACTTTTTCGATTTGAAAAAGCATGGAAATCATTTAACAATTATGTGCATCTTCATTTGAATGAAAGTTTTTATATATACATTTATTTACTAAGACAATAATGACAGTTGAAGTTGACAGAAGACAGGAACTTGAATGTTCCTTTTAGGTGTATCATTTAATAATATAAAAACCAGAGATAAAAACCCATGACGTATAATCGTCATTATATAAAACACACAAAAATATCCTAATTTGTAATAAAAATCCTAATGAACAATGAATTCAATAACAATATCCCAAAAAAATCTGTTTGTGCTACTTGCAACCACCTTGCAATATATTTTATGACATCGGCAAAGGTAGGCAACTTTTGTTACCATTTACAGTGTCGCCTGAGTTTCAATATTTCTTTATACTCAATAAACATCAGTCAATTTTTTTGAAATTGAATAAAAACCCAAAATGTATCTATAGATATAAGCTTATTACTATTATATAACTTATAACCATTTAAAATAAAATATAAATAATTAAACACTAAATAAGAGTCAACGATAACAAAGCGTAAGCTTGAAATATAGTACGGGAATCCAAGATGTTAAAAACAGCAATTGACAATAATTTTTAAATTATCCAGGGAGCTACAAAATCTCACCATTTGTGACATTACTTTGTTTTATAATGATTTGGTACTAAACATCGTCTACTCATGTATTTGTGAGATTAATTTATTTTATAAGGATCTAGTATTAAATTTATCATCTATTTGTATAATACCGTACTGGTATTTCCTATTTGTAGGATCTGTTTACATATAACTGTTCGATAATCACGTGATCTAGGATACTGATCGAATAAATAATAAAATCAATGACATGAAATCACGGAATATGGTGGAGCTCTGATATTGGAAATTAAACGGAAACATTTATGAAAACCTTGTGAAGAGTGGGAATATGTATTACCAAAATAAGTACAAAATTCTATATGACACGAACATGTACTAATAATGGGCGAAAAGAGACTGATCATGCATTGAATACCGCCAAACCTTAAGAAGGGAGGAAGACCTAAGAAAACATGCAAAAATGCATAGTTACAGCAATATAAGTGTTAAGGATTGAGAAGAGACCATGGACGTATTATAGTCCATGGAGAGAGACCAATGGAAATAATAGAAACCAGTAAAAGTAAGACATCTGAAAACCTCGTCTGAGATAATCTATGGTACATTTATGTAAAAAACCAGCGGTGTGTTGTATATGATAGTCTCATAAACAATATTGTATTTTGATTTTGTGGGGAAGCCCACAATATTATGTTTATTCCCTGTATTGCTATTAGCGCTTATCAATTGAACATATTAATGAGTTAATTTTATATGAGAAAATACTGATTCTTTTTTCTTACTTATACTGGGTATTCAGATGTTTTGAATAATGAACCCCAGAGTTAATTAGCTACAATTTTAGTTCGACAGAAATACTATTCCTATCGGATTAGCGAGTAATGAATTAAAAAATAAACTATATAAATAAGCTACCGCATTTGCACGCAAAGAAATACGTAGTTTTATTGATCGATCGCCCAATTGATAAGGAAAAATGTTGTACACTAACATGATAAAATCTTTTTTAGCAGTATTCTGGAGCACAAAACGATAAAATAAAAAACAACTGGGTAGAAATAGGTATAGCACCCATTCTTGTCAAAATTGATAAAATATCAGTAGGCTTATGCTTTGGCTCCAAGGGGCAAACTTATTATTAAAATATTTTTACTTTAGCTTATATGTGAGTGTGTGCTTAACCACCCTTCCGCTCGACATAAGAGGTCTACTGTGGATATATTTTTTACTTAACCCTTTCGCCTCGACTTTTTAATTTTTATGAATTTGGAACTTTTTTGGATTATTTAGGCTCTAAATATTTTTATACGATTTACACCATTTGTCAAATTTATTAACCTACATTTTGATTATTATCACCATGGAATATATATTTATGTCCCTCCAGGTTATAATTATGTCCCAGTAGTTGCAAAACTCAATGGAAGGAGGAAACACAAAAACGTTTTTATTGAAGAAACTCATAAAATATCAGGCTTTAATATGTATTAAATATCTTAAACCATTCCATACATAATGCAATGTTACACTGACAGCAAGAAACCTTTGTTCTTTTTTCTTTTTTCATTTTGTGACATCGGTGACATGTTCGTCAAGTTATCCATTCAATAGGTAAATGCTCTCCAACATTTTGTAGAGACATTATAGTTGTTGATGGTCTACCATATAATCTGCATCTTTTTACGGAAGCACAACTGCAGACAAAACGCCGAAGACGAATTTTTTATGGCGTATTTCTTTGTTATAGCTTTCAAGAATTCTACTACCGCTCATATTTTGATTGTTTAAAGAACTGACTGTGGACAAGAAACATTAGTTTTTGAACCATCCTTCATTTTTCTTTTGGCTTAAACCAATTTCAGTTCTGTGACAATTACCAATTACAACTACCTCTTTAGTATCCTTTCATTTGATGACTAATAAACCAGAATTGCTGCAATTCATTTTTAAGTCAGGTACTTGGCAGATTTTTATTGAATTCTGATAGCTATCTTCGATTGCCGATACAGGTACCAACTGCCGACATACTGTAAATTCTTCATTAGGTTCACTGAAGTAAAAAACGATCAAAGCATACAGATACGCCTGGACTTCTAATTCTTTGACATAGTTTGGTAACCACTCTTTGACCCAAAGCCCAACCGGGCATTTGTTCTCATATAGAAGAAAAATTAACAGGATTGTATTAGAAAAATATTCTTGAGAAAATATGTTACACCATCAGTGATCCAGAAATTCCCCAATATCAACTTCATCTTCCAACATGACAATTGCCGGTGTATACGAGTAGAATTCATCGAGAATGGTTGGAAGAAACTCACGTTAATGTTCTTTCGTAGTCTGCCCGGGGTCCAGACTTTAACCCATCGAAAATGTATGGACACAGTTGACAAAAGAACTTAAATGAAAGAAACCTTGGGCCACGGAATATAATTGTACTATGGGAGAGCAATGAGCAGGCATGGGAGGAGCTTTTTATAATATAAATTAGGGGATTGGTGCTATCTATGAACAGAATATTGCAAAGTTGTATTGGCAATAATGGGGCTTCCACCAAATGTTAATTGTGTTACTGTTTATCATTATTAAATATAAAATAGCTTAAAAATAAAATGAATATTTTTAACCCAGACTTCCTTACTTTTGTTATTAAAAAACATAATCTATTTTATTCAAAAAAACTTCTGCCTATAATTTCATGTTGTTATATATTTAAATAATATTTATATATATATTATATTATATATATATATATATATATTATATATATATATATATATATATATATATATATTTTGATTTTTTTTAATTCAACCTAATTCGGAGTCCGCCACTGGTAATTAACGTCACTTAGTCATAATACGTGCATTTTAAACGAGGTTATAAAATTCAAAAAAATCTACTTCTAGGGGTGTAAACTATTCAATGGCCGCAGCTGTACATGTGCCATGACATTACCAAAGAATATAGACGCTTATTTGACTTTACCAAAGAATATAGAAGCTTAAGCGTCTATATATTCTTTGATACAACATTAGCAAGTGACATGACAAGAGTTAGACATACAACATATACAACAGCTCTCAATATTAAAAGAGGAATACGGCAGGGATGCCTCTTGTCACCCCTGCTTTTCAACGTTTACTCCGAAAGAATTTTCAGAAAAGCACTTTCTGAAAAACAAGAAGGAATACTTGTGAGCGATGAAGTCATCAATAATTTGCGATATGCGGACGATACAGTTCTCCTAGCTTCTAGTCAAGAAGATCTGCAAACACTACTTGATAGTGTCGTTGGGAGTTGTAGGGAGGCAGGTCTGGATCTGAACATACGAAAAACCAAAATACTCATAATAAATAAACAACGGCATATAAAACCCTCTATATATGTAAATAATACCAAACTTGAGCAAGTTGATAAAATTTTTTACCTTGGACAGCGATTAAATTGTAATCGCAGAGAAGAAAGTCACGGCGAAATTAGATCTAGGATAGTAGAGCAGGCTAGATGTTGCTTTTAGAAGGATCTCCAAGGTGTTAATGTGACCTAAAATTGGCATTGGGATCCGCCTACTTCGCTGCTACGTGTTCTCGGTCTTACTTTATGGTGCCGAGTCTGGACTGTGAATAAAATCGATCTAAATCGCCGTGAGGCTTTCTAAAAGTGGTGCTATAGAAAATTTTTAAAAGTTTCCTGGCTGGAGAAGATTCGAAACTCCACATATTAGAACGTGTCAGCAAGACTACTGAGATCATGCATCTGCATCAAGCAGAGAAAGCTGGAGTATTTCGGACATGTAATGAGAGGTCCCAGATATAGGTTGCTACAAAATATCATGCAAGGAAAAATAGCAGGCAAACGTAGTCCAGTACGAAGAACTTCATGGTTGAAGAACTTGCGAGATTGGTATGGTGTTGATACAAGCATGCTATTTAGGGTGACAGTGAATAAAATTAAGATAGCTATGATGGTAACCAACGTTCTGAAAGAACATGGTACATGAAGAAGAAGAAGTTAGGTATTACTAGATTTTATGTTATATGACACCAATTTCACTGGACTATGAAAGAGCCAGTTGTTGTACAATAGGTAATAAAAATAGAGAAGAATGTGCATTAAAAATGTGTAAATTCGACGGCTATCCTTGCTAACATCACATTAATTTTTATTTCTTTCTAAAGTAAAATAGATAGATATAAGTAAGTACTCCATTGAAGATTTTAAGAAAGAAGTGGTTGTCATAAGTTCTTTTCCAAAGTTTTAATGTTATAGAAGTGTATAATATAGTAGATAATTCAGTAAAAATTATAATAAATCACAAGGGACTTATTACATTAACACTTACATCTTTTTTGCATATTTATTAACATTAGTGCAGTTAGATACACTGAAACAAAATAATTTTTATTATTATATAGATAGGTGGGTACCTATCGATAATCTTCTACCAAGCATCATTTTTATCCTATTCTGTTCGTTCATTCGATCGATA